CCCCAAAACCCCAAAACCCCAAAACCCCAAAACCCCAGACCTTATATTTTATACTGAGGTTTAAATATTTAAATTTATCCAGACCTATGATGAAAACAGACAAGAAAAGCCAGAACAGGGCTGGTCAGAATACCCTCAGAGATCCTCTGAGAGATCGGACCAACTTCAGGCCTCCTCTGAGCAAGCCAAGGAATTTGAAAGTGAAGAAAAAGAAGAGTCCTTTTCCTCATCACAAGAACAAAGTACTCAGCTCGTTAACAAATTCTAAGAATTCACAGTTCAAAAGTCAATTTTCAGAAACTGAAAATATCTTTGCTATGAATCCTGATGCACAAGATGCTTTTCAAGAGCTTGAAGATCAGAAGATGTCTTTGACTAGCGAAAGTAATTTCCTGGGCGGCTCCGCCCCAGGAGATAACTTTGGCCAGATAAATTCTCTGCCTGTCTTCAAACTCTTGAGAGCTTTCAAATTGCAACAGTATGCCAAGATCCTAGCTGAGCTTGGATATGGTACAGAAATTTACAAGCTCTTATTGATGTCAGAGACCCAGAAGAAGAATTTACTTAGCAGAATTAATCTTATGCCAGGCCATAGAGCCAAGTTTACAGATTTTTTCAGTTCAATTCATCAGGCTTATTCTCAAGAAGAGAGTAAGAACAGTCAAAACCGAGCTCAGAAGGGTCTGAATTCAGGTATTTTTTCTGATAAAATTTTAGAAACAAGCAAAAGCCCTAATAGAGGTCCATACTCAACCACAGTCAAGCAATTGAGAAAAAGAAATAATTTAGCTAGAAAATATCGTGGGCTTGATGCTGCTTCGAAAAAGAACCTTAATGAAAAATTCCTCCTAAAAGTTTTGGAGAGGCCTCCCATGAAATGCAAGAAGAGTGGAGATGCCATACAAAACACTGAAAATACTCAAAACTTCAATAAGACAAATATGTTTACCCCAAACGACCCTGCTTCGATGTATGAAAAGTATGGACTCTCCCATTCTTCAAAATTTGTTAATACCAAGATGCAGAGAAGAAAAGAGCGAAGACGAGGGACTTCTCATCAGAACAGAGCTAACCTCCGTACCTTAAGTAACGATCCAAATACAGGATGTTACCGGAACGAGACTCCTAATACACTTTATGAAATCAAGAATCCTCATCATCCAAAAGTAAGTACTAGAATTACTCTATAGGTTCCAAAAAGAAGGAATTCGAAGGCCAGACTCCAGAACAAAAATAGGTTATTTAAAAGATCAGATGTTACTCTTCGTGGTAACCCTGTTCTTGAGAACATCGGGCTGATGTCTGCAAGTGCCTTACCAGTGAAACCCCTCAAAAAGTTCATGAATCCTCTAACTGATGATAAATTACTGGCTAAGCTACCCCAAAGTGTTAGCACTAGGCATGACAAGGCTAGCAATTCCAGGCTGCGCAAGAGCAATGCAAGAAGAAACCTCTCTGAAGATCGTGGCAAGAGAAAAATTAGAAATTATAGTGAAGAAAGAGTCAAGACTAAAGCTACTGACTTCTGCATAACCAATGCTAGAAAGTTTAACAACTATGCTAACCGGAGCAAGAGTGGGCATGATCAGAACTCTCGAGACTGTGCAAGTTCAACAAATGCTACAAGGGCCGGCACCTGTGTGAATAGACCTTACGGAGAGAGAAGGAAATAAAAGAGCGTACTCAGGAAACAATCGCAGAGCCCCCCTCGACACTGGAAACCAGATCAAACTTCCGAAGATCAACAAGGAGAGCACTCGAAAGACAAACAGCTTCAGGAAAACCCACAATAAAGGCCATATGGATGATATTAGTTCAGAGATAGATAAATAGAAATGGTATCTCCCTCTCTGAGACCCAAAAAGAAAGCATCAAAGGTAAAAATCCCACTAACTTCTAGAGTCAAATATTTCAGAGCATAAACCACTAGGTGTAGTATCCTACTCTAATTCAACTAGCAAGGAAAACTCATATTGCTCCAAAGTCAAGGATGAGTATAAGCTGCCTAAGGATGAAGAGGATGTGTACAAAATTATATCAAAAGAAGTCTCGATTAACTCCAAAGGGGCAGATAAAAAGAATAAATCAAAAAAGAAGAAAGAAACCTCCCAGAAGGGAATTTCAATGATTAAGAGTAAGAAGCCTCCTAAGGATTCAAAGAATTTGAAGGTTAGATCTAAGAGGCAGAGTATTGATACCACAAACACTCAAATACCCAGTGGGAATTCTCAAGTTCCAAAGAATAATGAAGCTCCTAAAGAATCTCAGAAAAGCATCAAAGAAAAGGTTCTTCATAATGAAAAGCCAGTGGTCCCTTTGTCTCCTCTTCTTACTATACTCGAGAAACAAGACATCAAGAAGCTTGGTAATAGTTTAGACTCGAAGGAAGTAAATGACTCCATAGGAGTAATGGAGATCGACCTTCTATGCAAGTGCCTTTCACATTTGATCCTCAAGCACATCGAATTCTCACAAGGCAAGGTCCTCGTAGATGACCTTGTTAAGGAGGAACAAGATATCCCTCTCTTCACATATGGTCTAGGAGCTAGGCTCGAAATCAACCTTGAAGAGATCCAAAGAGAAATTCAGCTTAGAGAGTGGGAAGCACAAACGAAAAACGAAGAAAACTTCCAAAGACTTCAGCTCATGATGAGTGGAGATAACCCATACATGTTCCACGATCAGCAAGAATTGGAACAAATGCAAGATCCTAACCTATATTATCATTCAGAAGAAGGGGGTATTGATTACGAAAGAGTGAATACTAACCAAATAGCAGTTGAAGAGCAGAATTATGATCCTAGCCAAGGTATTCCAGACTTAGTGGATGTCAATAGTATACTTCAAACTGCTCAAAATGACCCAAATGTTATACAAAATGTGGATATTCAGATCGATCAAAGGTCGAATTCTCAAGGGTGAAATCTCCCTATAGTCCAAATGGGAGAGATGCTCCAACAACCAAATGGCACTCCAACAGGTAGCAGAGGAGGTATAAATTCATATTATTCAAACCTATCAATGATGGGTAACTACAAACCATTTTTCTTCCCTCCTCCTGATCTTGGGATGGTAGAAAGCATGGGGAGCTATGAAAATAGCTCAAGGTTCTTCAGATCAGTCAGATCTTCCAATATGAACAAATCCTTCAACAAGAATACATCGATTTGAGGCCTCAGAAACAGGAAGAATACTACTGCTGAAGATATCGATCATGAAAGCCCTCTTAAAGAACTCCCAAATTGTCACGAAGAAGAGAAAGGTCTTGAGATTAGTGCTAAAAAGACTTTGGAAAAATCTGAAGAACCAAAAGAAAATTTCTCAGATGTTAGCCTGAAATCTATCGACTCAAATTTTAGTTCTAATAATCGCTTTCCTACTGTAAATTCTGAGAGAGTCAATGAACAAGAAGAAATTCCGAGACAAGATATGGCTTGTGGGCCTACTGAGCCTCAGGAAGATCTCTCAGATGAGAACTCTCTAAACCTCTCTAACGAAAGTTACTATATGCTTGAAGATTTGTCACGAGAAGGTTTACAGAAGTACCTCAAAACCTCGATGCTAGTATTTAATGAAAAATACTCAGTAAAAAAGAAAGAGATCGAAGAAGATATTGAAGCCACTGAGCCATCTTTCGATCTCTGCTACAAGTACTGTATCTATGTCATGACTGCTTGCAAGATGGAGAAGGAGATTCCACTCATAGCAATTCTGTACCTTGAAAGACTCCTACTACGCACTGGGATCCTCATGAACAGAGATAATTGGAGGAGACTTATTCTCATTAGTATGGTCATTTCCTCTAAAATATGGGATGATGACTCTCTCGAAAACGAGCATTTCCCTGGAGTGATGGAGGATACAACAATTCAGGAAATCAACACCTTTGAGAGAGTCTTCTTGGATTTAATAGGCTATGATTTGAATGTGCTAGGGTCTGAATATGCCAAATATTACTTCATTTTCCGCACATTTGCTCTGAGAAATAACTTAAAATTTCCTCTTGAGAACGTAAAGATCCAGGATGTTATCAAGCATCATAGTACAGAAAGAGTAACAGCAGATCTTATCAGGGAATTTAACCTAAAGAATACAAAGCTCGATCAGTCAATCTAAATTATTTTCGTAATAATTTTTCAATTTTAGTATGATCTCCTGGGGTTTTGGGGTTTTGGGGTTTTGGGGTTTTGGGG